TTGCTCGTGTGCCTCGAGAGAACCGACGAGCTCGTCGATCGTAAACGTTGCTAGGTCCTTTGACTGTTTTGTCGCACATACAACATTCTCAAACTTAATGGTTAATAACCTCAAAATCTTCTCCACAACCCGCGTCTCGGCTAACATTTCTCCGTTTCGGTTGACTTGGTTTACCAAAGTCTGTACACGTGTGATGCAGTCAGAAACACTTTCTGACTCCTTCATCTTCATGCTCTCCAACTCGCCATGAAGAGTTTGGAGACGAACTTGCTTGACTCGGTCGGTTCCTTTGAACACTTTTCCTAAAGTGTCCCACGCATCTTTTAAAGTAGTTGCATTAGCAATCTTCTCAAAGCCCGACTCGTCAACGGCTCGGAACAACATGTATAGTGCCGCCTTATTCTTTGATCGCATCACTTTTAACGCCTTGTTTTGTGCCGCTGTATAACCCGTGGTATCTTTTGGTTCTTGGAAACCTTCTTCGACCACCTCCCATGCATCTTGAGAACCGAGAAGAGCTTTCATCTAAATGCTTCAATTCTCGTAGTTCGTCTTCATTAGTCGTCGTAGCGGCATTTGACCCGTCACATTCATCATTGGCTCTGATACCAATTTGTTAAAGAAATCTCACAAATCTGTGAAATAAAACTCACACACACTAATGATAGAAAGAAACAAAGAACACTCTATTTATCTGAAAAAAAACCCACTTCTTTTACTTCTCTATTTTTTTCCCCTTTTTTTCTCTGCCCTTGGATTTATAAACTCTTCTAAAACTAATTATAGCCATCAGAATGCCACTATTTCCTAACCCATAAAACATCATTGTTTCCTATGAACACTCTTTGGCCTTTCATCTTCAACACTCTTGGCCTTCTCCCCTACAACCGACCTTTGAATTTAAAACCCACAAAAATTAACTAAAACTAACATTTAATTTTTATCCAATAGAGACATGGTTCTAACTTAAAAAGACTGATGTTGCGACTTGGAGGACAAGGCATGGAGGCGACTAGGAGAAAGAGATAGGATGGTGACTTGGAGGAGGGTTGGAGGATCCATCATGACTATGACTTAAAAGGTTGATGTAGTGATATGACTGACCTGCAGGAGATTGATGTGTGACTTGGAAAAGGAGATCATACGAAAGTGACTAAGAGAATGTGACATGTCGATTATTTAGAGGATTCTTGGAGGAGGGACATGACTATGGTGCATGGGCTACTCAATATGGGCTACTCAACATGGACTACAAAGGAAATTTTTGTGAAGAATGCGTGCTCAGCAAGCATGTGAGAACCTCAATTCAAAAGAAGGCAGAATTTTGGACTAAATAACCTCTCGAGTTGATTCATACAGATATATGTGAACCAATTACCCCCAAGTCTTTCAGCGGTAAAGGGTATTTCATTTCCTTTATCGATAATCACTCACGAAAAACTTGGGTTGACTTTATGAAAGAAAAATTCGAGGCATTCGAGGTGTTTAAAAAGTTTAAAGTGATGGTGGAGAAGGCAACTGGTAGACACATCAAAGTTGTACGATCCGATAGAGGTGGCGAGTACACTTCGATGACTTTCATGGAGTCTTGCGAGGAGCAAGGCATAAGGCAATTTCTAAGCACATCGTAAACCCCTCAACAAAATGGTTTGGCCGAAAGAAAAAACTAGACCATTCTCGACATGGTTCGGTCAATGCTTAAGAGCAAAAGGATGCCAAAGGAATTTTGGGCAGAAGTTGTGCAATGCGCCACCTGTTAAATAAAAGCCATGTTCCTTATTTAGTTAGGTTTTTCAAAACATCTGAATTCACGCCAATGGAAGAGCGTAATTCTAGGTGCCATTTTTTGGGCAATTTGGGCGAAGTCTTTGTCCACTTTTCGATTTTTGTATAATTAGTTTTTTTATTTTTGTAATTAGATTTGTTATTTAAACCATTCAACGGAAGGAAAATAAATCAACGAGTCTCAGCGAATCTCTCTCCCTCTCTACTTTTACTTCCGCTAATTTTTCCTTCGAAGAAACCTTCGGCCAATTTTTCGTCGACATTGTCCTTCGAATTACCAGAGTCAACAAGTGGTATCAGAGCCAGGTTGAAGCGATCGGTAGTATACCATTACAGAAGAGCCAATCATATTAATAATCAAGTTGAATAGCTCAAGTGGTTAAAGCGTCGACCTAACAACATATAGGTCTTAGGTTCGAGTAGAAGAAAATGCAAAGCGTGAAAACACACACATCGTGGGGCTTGTCTTAGGCAGGCTCACTTTACTCCTCCACACCGACGTCGTTATGACGGAGCTCTCTCTTCATGGGTAAGTGCATGCGTTCCATCTGTAGGAAGGAGATGACACCTGTGAGCAAGAATTGCTGGAGCAAGCTCAAGAACAAGGAAAGAAGAAGAGGCAACTTCTCCCTACCCAAGGTTATATCCGTTGTTATCTTTCTCTTGCTTGCTTATATAACGTCTCTTTCTAAAATCTCTCTCTCTCCTCGTTTTCTAAAACCTTCTTTTAAAACCGAGGCTAGAGGCTCGATCGTACGTCGCTTGGTCGTAGGCAACGCAAGAACAAATTGGCTTAGCTCACTTGTCGCTAGAAAGTGAGTGCCGCACAATCGCTAGTCCGCTGCCTTCGAAAGTGCGATTGTGTCAAGTGGCTGTGGAATACGATGCGGGCAGGTCAAAGCCAAAAAGTTCGGGATTTGTGGCTGGGTCGGGATGTGGTTCTTCAATTTCAATTGACTAAGATTCAATTTCATTCTCTTTAGCTTTTCCAGTATCTACAGAATGAGCACTGTTCACTATTTCAAAAAGATAGTTGGTTGAATGAAACGTAAACCTTCTTTCTTTTTTCCCATCTATCACAAGGGAGGCCTCAGGCTCAGGGACGAGTTCAGGAGCAATTAGATTAGATGACGATGTTCTTTCTCGCTTGGCTTGTAATCGGAAATTCTGTGCCCTCTTCTCTTTCTCGTTTACTATGAGTGGGGAAAATGAACCTCTACGGCAAATATATATGATAAGGTAACACCCAAAAGGCTAGTCACCGTGTCGAGAGCAACTGAAAGGGTTTTCCTCCTTCTTTCTTTCATAAATTTTCTGCGCTGTGTCCGTGCCATTAGATCCTAATTCGGCTACCTCTCCCACTCATCAAGGCAGAACATCAGAAGTGAAACGCCAAGGGAGCTTATCAAACAAGGTACGCTTTTTTTGCCCATGAACCTACAAAAGTCTCAGTTACTGGAGTGTTGCGCTTCTCAGGGCCGAGTCAGAGCAACCCCGCCTGGGCGATCCTGTCACCCGGAGAAGAGTTGAGTTGTGCTTACTTACTTATTCGCAAGCTCACCTAAAGGCAGGCCTGAATAAGTAAGGGAAAGGGGTGAAGCCACTCGACCGATAGGGAAAGGGGTGAAGCCACGAGACCGAGTTACATCAGTCAAAGGTGAATAAGTCAAGTAGGGAAAGATCATTAATAAAGTAAGAGGAGTTGCCGAGTTATCTTAAAGTCAAGCTCTCTGTCCCCTATCTATAGAGATAGAATAGATCTTTTCATGGATTTAGATAGATTCATTCCATGGATTCTGTTGTGGCTTACAAAGCTCGTCGATTCTTCCCTTCCTTTTATCTTGGACATCTCACTTGTAATGCTATTCATTCTTTTCAATCTTGTACTGAGGCTGAATGCCAACCCAATCTCGATGAAAAAAGCAAAAATGTGCTCAACTACATCAAAAACCTCTATTCCTGAAGTAACTCTAGTCGCTCTCGCTCCACTCATATGCTATTCAAAACCGAGAAAATAAAAGAATCAATGGTATACTCGTCTGGCAGAGCAAAGACCCCTCCGAAGTAGTCTTTTAGTACTGAGGCATTTCTAGCCGACTACTACGACTACATGCGCATCTAGTGCAGTGGCTTAGCTACCTTGACCATCTTTCGAAGAAAAAAAGAATAGACAGACTGATCAAACGCGGACGGACTGCTCTACATTCAGCCACGCCACTCTGACCCCCGAAGCGATCTTCTTCTAGTTGCGGGACGAAATCTGGCAGCCAATTGCTGGCTCTGAATAACCTGCCCTGCAATCCGTTCAATTCTTCCATAACATAAGGGGGCGGGGTTGCGCGCGAGCCGAGTGCCGTAGGTGCACAAGAGTACTTCGGGCCACAACCATCTCTTTTTGATAGGTTCTACGTACCGATGCCTGCTGCTTCATCTGATAGAAAAGAATCATTGATATGCCGGTCATTAGAAGGAAGAACCACCATAAAAATCTTCCTTGTTTATCATCTGTAGCAAAACTATGAACGGGAGCTAGCAATCCAGACCGTATTGAAAAGGTTCCTGAGACACAGCATGGAAAAGTCACAATATTCAGAAACGAGGTCCAAGAATGAAGAATGGGTAAAATGACTAAATGAATACGAGCTGTGGCTAATACCCGAGGCATAAAAGAAGCATTTTCAACGGGATCCCGAAACCACCAGCCACCCCGACCTAATTCATGATGAGCCCACCAACTTCCTGGCAAGATGCCTACGGTTAAAAAGCACCGACATATCAAGATCCAAATTCGAATGGGTTCCTGGTCCTGGTCAGAGACCACTGTGTTCGCGTCGGCAGTCCAAGAAAGAAGCGAAGTAGTGGTCTCTTTCTTTGCATTACGAATGACACGCTTCGCCAGCTCCCTCCCCGTGTCCACTAGCCCTCCCGACCAGAGGGAAGAGAAGGCGAAAAAGTGCCGCCGAAGCAGCATGAGCAGGCTTCTATTGCTACACACCAATAGAGCAGGATAGCATTTTGCGCCCACATCTTTGAATTTGAGGGTAAAAAGCTTGCTTCTTATACGAGATCCGACGCATCCAGCAGAGTGAAGCAGCGTTCCATTCTTTTCGGGGGCATCCTTATGCATTGGCGGGGAGTGAAGTGCCACAATCCCATTCATGATTTTGGATCTACATAAGCCAAAACCCATAGCACTGACGACGTCTCCGGCATAAATACAAGGAGGATGTATAGCTGATATAGGATCTTGTGAAACAGGATTTGATTCTGCAAACGGTTTGGTACGAACGAAGAAATTTCGAACAAAAGGATCGGAACTCGCTGATAGGAAAGGAGAGAAAAACAAAGCAATGCCAAGAGTTCTGTCAATCCGCTGTTCATCGATAGACGAAGCTCTCTCTTTATCATCTCGTGCCAGATGCAACAAAGGATGAGTCCTTTTTACTTCTCGCGAACCACGGGAGCGCCGGGAGCCCAGAGGAACAAAGCTCATTTGACTTTCAGGGTAAAGCGGCGCATAAAAAAGGGCTGGCCCGTCAAAAGTCTGGTTCCTCCGCCAACGAAGTTCAGAATCAACAAGGGTTCGGAGAACGAAGGGAGTGCACAACAGGGGCGCAGACCCACTTTTTTGGTCGTAACAAGGGAGATCTCGAATGGGGTTCTTCACGAAGTTCGAAAGAAAGGAATAAAAAAGAGTTTCTCTATGGCCTCCTCGTTTTGAGACATTATGGCTTTGGGGGCGACCCCGGTAACAAAGAAGGAATCAATAAACACTTGGGATCCGACACCATGATAAAATACTACCCTCATGATTAGACCATGTCCCTGAGATTTTATAAAAGAAAGGTGCATTCGCGGTTAATACGTTGGAATTGGATAAGTTATTAGGAATATGACGGAACGAAAGACCAAAGAAAGAAAGAAGAATACACCAAAATGCAGGTGCTGCACCAAACATTGGTGGTTCTTTCTTGTTGTAAGTGAATCCAACGAAAAGACCGGGAAATAACGAATAATGAAACAATTCATATATTGACATTTCATGCTCATTTCTGCTTTCTTATTCCCATCATCCGATAACCACAAGATGATCCACAAGAAAGGTGGCAGGATTCGAACCTATGGCCGCCCCTTCTCCTTTCCAGTTGAGCTTCTTCGCCTCTTTGCCCGTAGGGTCTCAGGTCTTCGCCCCTGACCTGCTTGGTTGGGTGGCCGGGTTAGCACCCCTCCTCGCCTCTGTACCCGAAACAGATGCGCTGCGCTAACCAGCGCGTAACCTTCTTTACCCTACCCCTCCTCAGGTTATGCCATTACCAATCGTAGGTAACCTCAGGTCCGGCTGCTGCCCCTGACCTAATAAGAACCATTATCCTTATGACCAAACAAGGACCAGCTTACTTACTTCTCGAGCGAGAGTTCCACGATCCCGACCAGAAACTTGTTGGCAGTAGGGGCATCCAAACTTGCCCAACAAACACCTATTTACAAGGGGCTTGGAGATTGAGGGGTTTCTGGGGGAGATACAGACAGTAGAATAAGGTTGGATTTGAAAAACAAAATAGGACTAGATAACACATGTTATGAAACTTGTTCGTTAAGAATTTTGTTGATCTCGTTAGACCTAAACTAATATAGACGCAGAAAGGGACAGATAGTGCTTCAGAAAAATGGGGGGTTCGTATGATGACTTGGGAGAGGAAAGAAGGAAGCTGCTTTACCGAGGTGAATGAGATCAGTAGCGAGACCGAGTGAAAGAACACTGACTTAGTGCTTGCTTTACCAAGTGAAATAAGGTTATTGATAACTCATATCTTGTTGAGTTGAGTCTTGAGTTGAGTCCTTGTTTACTGTGAAAGAAGAAATAGGTGACGGTTCAGGAAAGAACAGAAAAGAGACCGTCAAATAGTTCAACCCTTGTGAAAGAATCATCCTCCGTACAGCCAGTTTACCTCATTCAATCAGTCAAAGGTGAAGGAGTTTACCTCGGTTACAGTCTTCTAAAGAAAGAAGGGACAGGTGAAGGAGAAGGAATAAGGAGTTGAGATTTTCTTACAGCAGGAGAGTAAGTTCAAGAAAGGCTAAGACAGAGAGGAGCAAAGCAATGAAACCGACAGGTGAAGGAGCTTGACCGGATTCTCATCCTGCCTAGTCAATTACCTCCTCAATGACCTCTTTATTTAATAGGGAGTCATCAATTTACCTAGTTACATCAGGCAAAGCAAAGGTTTAAAGTAGAGTATTGATCTTTGACAGTGAAGGGCGAGTAAAAGAAAGAATACATAGGTGAAGGAAGAAGCCGCATTCTCTTCCATTTCATCCTTCATGCCTTGTCTATCTTGTTTACAGTGAGTTCAAGCAAGCAAGGTAGAGGGACGAAGCCACGAGACGAGAAGAGGGGAAGGCCATGGAATAGCTTTACCGAGTTCAAGAAGTTAGAGCAAAGAAAAGAGACACTAAAATAGTTCAACCCTTGTTCAATCAGTCCAATCAATGCAGGGTTACGAGAATAGGGAGTAGCGAGATCAGACGACTGTAAAGAACAGGTGATTGAGCGAAGCTGCTTTCCCTTGTTTGTCTTTGAAGGACTAAATAGGGAGGGAGAGGATCAAGATCAGAGAAGCCAGTTCCGTTCCAACCCAGCCAGCAAGCAGTGAGACCGACGAAGGAAAGGAGTGAACTTTAATCGAGAGTTTAGTCTTTCTTAGTTTACCAGGAAAGAAGGAGAAAAGGAGAAAGACATGATTCTCATCCAGCCGCTTGACTGACTCTTCTAGATAATGCTTCGAGAGTTGAGGAGAAGAGAAAGATCAAGAAGGAATCTAGAGGAGAAGAGAAAGATCAAGAATGAATAAGGAAAGGAGTGAAGACTTTCAAGACTTTTAGGTTTAGTAGTTCTGTCTCATTCATCTGGAGGATTGACTTCCAGTTCACTCTCATTGATTCTTCGATAGGATTGACTGACAGTGAATGATGACGAATGAATAAGGAAAGGAGTTCAGTTTCATTCTTGGTTCTTCTCATACAGCCTAGTTCCCCCTTGTGAAAGAGTGAAATCAAGGACTCCAGCTTACTTACCTAGTTCCCTTGTGAAAGAGTTAAATCAAACAACTACTATTCCATTTACCTACCCCTTGTTCAAGAAGTAATAGTATAGGAGGAGAGTCTTTGGGGAAGGATAAAGAATCAATCAATAGATTCAATCAGCATCAGTAGTTCAGGAGTTTGTTTACCGAGCTCAATCAGCAGGAAAAGGTTTGAGGTTTCTTCTTCTCACACAACCTATTTACCGAGTCAAAGAGTGAAAGCAGCTGGAGCAAGCTCAGGAACAAGGAGAAGGCCGAAAAGGCCCATGTGGCTCAATCCGAGGAGGACGCAAGCTCAGGAACAAGGAGAAGGCTAAAAATTGTGGCTCAATCCGAGGAGGACGCAAGGTCAGGAACAAGGAGAAGGCCGAAAATTGCTGGAGAGAGCTTAGAACCAAGGAGAAGGCCGAAAAGGCCCATGTGGCTCAATCCGAGGAGGACGCAAGGTCAGGAACAAGGAGAAGGCCGAAAATTGCTGGAGAGAGCTTAGAACCAAGGAGAAGGCCGAAAAGGCCCATGTGGCTCAATCCGAGGAGGACGCAAGCTCAGGAATAAGGAGAAGGCCGAAAATTGCTGGAGCAAGCTAAGGAACAAGGAGAAGGCCGAAAAGGCCCATGTGGCTCAACCCGAGGAGGACGCAAGGTCAGGAACAAGGAGAAGGCCAAAAATTGTGGCTCAATCCGAGGAGGACGCAAGGTCAGGAACAAGGAGAAGGCCGAAAATTGCTGGAGAGAGCTTAGAACCAAGGAGAAGGCCGAAAAGGCCCATGTGGCTCAATCCGAGGAGGACGCAAGGTCAGGAACAAGGAGAAGGCCGAAAATTGCTGGAGAGAGCTTAGAACCAAGGAGAAGGCCGAAAAGGCCCATGTGGCTCAATCCGAGGAGGACTCAAGCTCAGGAACAAGGAGAAAGGAATAAGAAGAAGGCCGAAAATTGCTGGAGCAAGCTAAGGAACAAGGAGAAGGCCGAAAAGGCCCATGTGGCTCAATCCGAGGAGGACGCAAGCTCAGGAACAAGGAGAAGGCCAAAAATTGTGGCTCAATCCGAGGAGGACGCAAGGTCAAGAACAAGGAGAAGGCCGAAAATTGCTGGAGAGAGCTTAGAACCAAGGAGAAGGCCGAAAAGGCCCATGTGGCTCGAGAAGGCCGAAAATTGCTGGAGAGAGCTTAGAACCAAGGAGAAGGCCGAAAAGGCCCATGTGGCTCAATCCGAGGAGGACGCAAGCTCAGGAACAAGGAGAACTGTGGGAAGAGAGGACACCTGAGTAGGAATTGCTGGAGCAAGCTCAGGAACATGGAGAAGGCCGAAAATTGCTGGAGCAAGCTTAGGAACAAGAAGAAGGCCGAAAAGGCCCATGTGGCTCAATCCGAAGAGGACGCAAGCTCAGGAACAAGGGATGGAGCAAGCTCAGGAACAAGGAGAAGGACGAAAAGGCCCATGTGGCTCAATCCGAGGAGGACGCAAGCTCAGGAACAAGGAGAAGGCCGAAAAGGCCCATGTGGCTCAATCCGAGGAGAATGCAAGCTCAGGAACAAGGAGAACTGTGGGAAGAGAGGACTCTTGAGTAGGACCAGTGCTCGAACTGTGGGAAGAGAGGACACCTGAGTAGGAATTACTGGAGCAAGCCCAGGAACAAGGAGAAGGCCAAAAATTGCTGGATCAAGCTCGGGAACAAGGAGAAGGCCAAAAATTTCTAGAGCAAGCTCAGGAACAAGAAGAAGGCCGAAAAGGGCCATGTGGCTCAATCCGAGGAGGACGCAAGCTCAGGAACAAGGAGAACTGTGGGAAGAGAAGACACCTGAGCAGGAATTGCTGGAGCAAGCTCAGGAACAAGGAGAAGGCCGAAAAGGCCCATGTGGCTCAATCCGAGGAGGACGCAAGCTCAGGAACAAGGAGAAGGCCAAAAATTGTGGCTCAATCCGAGGAGGACGCAAGGTCAGGAACAAGGAGAAGGCCGAAAATTGCTGAAGAGAGCTCAGAACCAAGGAGAAGGCCGAAAAGGCCCATGTGGCTCAATCCGAGGAGGACGCAAGCTCAGGAACAAGGAGAACTGTGGGAAGAGAGGACACCTGAGCAGGAATTGCTGGAGCAAGCTCAGGAACAAGGAGAAGGCCGAAAAGGCCCATGTGGCTCAATCCGAGGAGGACGCAAGCTCAGGAACAAGGAGAACTGTGGGAAGAGAAGACACCTGAGCAGGAATTGCTGGAGCAAGCTCAGGAACAAGGAGAAGGCCGAAAAGGCCCATGTGGCTCAATCCGAGGAGGACGCAAGCTCAGGAACAAGGAGAACTGTGGGAAGAGAAGACACCTGAGCAGGAATTGCTGGAGCAAGCTCAGGAACAAGGAGAAGGCCGAAAAGGCCCATGTGGCTCAATCCGAGGAGGACGCAAGCTCAGGAACAAGGAGAACTGTGGGAAGAGAAGACACCTGAGCAGGAATTGCTGGAGCAAGCTCAGGAACAAGGAGAAGGCCGAAAAGGCCCATGTGGCTCAATCCGAGGAGGACGCAAGCTCAGGAACAAGGAGAAGGCCAAAAATTGTGGCTCAATCCGAGGAGGACGCAAGGTCAGGAACAAGGAGAAGGCCGAAAATTGCTGAAGAGAGCTCAGAACCAAGGAGAAGGCCGAAAAGGCCCATGTGGCTCAATCCGAGGAGGACGCAAGCTCAGGAACAAGGAGAACTGTGGGAAGAGAGGACACCTGAGCAGGAATTGCTGGAGCAAGCTCAGGAACAAGGAGAATGCCGAAAATTGCTAGAGAAAGCTTAGGAACAAGGAGAAGGCCGAAAATTGCTGGAGCAAGCTCAGGCACAAGGAGAAGGCCGAAAATTGCTAGAGCAAGCTCAGGAACAAGGAGAAGGCGGAAAATTGCTGGAGCAAGGTCAGGAACATGGAGAAGGCCGAACAGGCTCATGTGGCTCAATCCGAGGAGGACACA